ATACTCCACTCAGGTTTAAATAGTGCTGAAATCTCCAAAGGGAACTTTCTTCCTCAGTTTGCTACCCTCTAGTATGCTCATTGTGTGTTGGGGATGGTGAATGCTCAAGATCACATATTTTTCTCATGTTCATTGTGGCTAAATGCTAGTTTTCTTTATTCAAGATTTTCAAAGTTTAATGGGTCCATAACAAAGGTGCAAGCTGTCATATTTCATAATTCCAGAAATTTGGTTTCACAGGAATCAAAGAATATTTGATTCAGGTGTTTGGTTCAAGAGGATGAATTTGGAACAGCTTATCTGCGCTTAGGCGGGTGACTTACATGGGGTTTTGACCTAAAAAAGTTCAAAATTATCAATCCCATTATGGTTAAAGTCAAGACTTTTGATGGTGGTTAGAGAGAAATCAAAGAGTTTTCAATTGGGAGTGTTTCTATCAAAGAATGTTCTTTTTGTTTCAAGAAGGAAAAAGAGCTGCATGGTCCCCCAAGGTGATTCCACTTCCCCTAGTAGATATTATCTTCTTTGGGTTTTCCCTTTTGAGCTTCCCTTCAAGGTTTTTAAAATGCACCTGCTAGGGAGAGGTTTCCACACCCTTATAAAAAATGTTTCGTTCTACTCCCCAACCGAGGTGGGATCTCCCAATCCACCTCCTTTGGGGACTAGCATCCTTGCTGGCACTCGTTCCTTTCTCCAATCGATGTGGAACCCCCCAATCTACCTCCTTTGGAGCCCAATGTCCTTGCTGACACACCGCCTCGTGTCCATTGCCCAAACCCTCTGCTAGTAAATATTGTCCTCTTTGGGCTTTTTCTTTCGGGTTTCCCCTCAAGGTTTTTAAAATGCGTCTGCTAGGGAGAGGTTTCTACACCCTTATAAAGAATGTTTTGTTCTCCTCCCCAACCGATGCGGGGTCTCACATCCCCTTTCCCAAACCTTGAGAGAAAGTCTGTTGTGCTTGTTTTAGAATGTAGAATGTGAGAAACAGATTCGTTTCAAGGTCTTGATGCATATTATGTTCAGGATTGCAATTGTTTTTTTCTACAATATACAGAAAACAACATAATTCATTGATGAAATGAAAAATTGCAATGAAAGTTACAATTAGGTTGGTTGTGAGTTTTCCTTTCGGTTTTATATATACAGGTCACAAGCAATGAAAGTTGCTTGTGAGTTCTCCTTTAGGTTATACATATTGGCGCAAGGGTATACTTGGGCATAACATTTTCATTTGTTCATTGTGATGCTTTCAGCTATTGGTGGTACAACTGGAGAGCTTCTTGAACAGAATGCACATGCCATGAATCAAATATCTTCTAATCTTGCATCTTTTCAGGTGAAGAACTTGGCTGTCCGGATCTTGTTTCACCATTTTTAAGTTTAACCAAGAATCTATGAACGAGTAAGTAATAACTTTTTGTTTTATGCAGATACAAGATAATATCAGTCTCTTCTGCCAAACGCGAGATAACATCCTCAAAATAATGAGCGAGTAAGTAACATTACCTTCACTGCTTTTCTCCTCACTCCCCCCATTTGTACCAGCATGCTTTCCTTAGTTTTATCGAACATTCACACCCTCTTAACGTACATTTAGCAGAAAGTCCATTTTTAGCATGCAAATTATGTTTGTCTACTACCTTGGAATAACAACTCCTCCATTTGTCTATTTTGTTTGTTATGTTCTGCGAGATTGGTTCCCATATATTGTGTAGACCTCCTACTTGGAGATGATCCGAAGTTTGGTACTTATGGGAACTAGGTGTTAGACCCTCATGTGTGTCCATGCTAAATCATTTATGGAATCCGTTATGGATAGCGGGTGCATAATCCAATCTCCAACACATGGGCTGGGGTGCAAAGTCGGCACACCCGTGCTGTGACACTATTCTTGAAAGACCCATTTCAAAGGAAGACACACGAGATGCTCGTCTCGCAACGCTCGTCCACGTTGTGGCACACGTATGTGCTACAACGTATCTTGATTAGGCCACAAGGCCTAGGGGCGGTGGAGAGTTGACGCCATGCCTCCCTCTATAATACATTTTGAGATATTTCCAATGTTTTTGGAGTATACGTCATTTTGGCAAGTGGTCATACGACTCTATAGAGCATCTGTCGAGTATGCGATTGACACCAAATTTGGTGAGCTTTCATCTTTCATATAGGTGAACTTAACTCCAAAGTTGCATGCTGGAACTCATATCGATACCCCGACTTCTTAAGTCTATCTATAACAAAGCTCACCATTCATATCAAAACCTCAAAACTCATGTTACCTCGTTCTCTTCAACCTTGTGTATGCCTTAGCTTGGCTTGAATGTAAACTCTTGGTGTGTTAGATGATGCACCGTCCTCCTCAATTGCATCATGACACTTGTTTATCTTGGCTCTCACATGGTCGGAGGAACGCCGCTTGAGGGTTGTCCCTTGTTTGTCTTGTGTGTGGGGTCACAACCTGCTTTCTCTCAGTGAGGTTGTGACACTCTCCCCCACATAAGCTAGTCATCGTTCTCAATGACTTTCTCAGGGGCACAATCGTATCGTCAATTATGACACGTGGCATACCTTTCCCTTTGTTCCCTCCGAGATCGAGAACTTTTCCAGTTTGGTTGCTTTCCGTGGATCTATATCCCTACATGTTTCTTCGTTTTGCCTAGCCTTTTTACAGTACTCATATCAAGGTATTCCTTTCTTTGGTAAGTTTTTCCTTGTTAGCGTAGATAGATATCTCATTTTGAGGTTTGCTTGCAGGTGGATAGACTTTTTTTCTTGGATAATCACTGTTATGCTTGACTTGGGAAACTCCTCAAGTCTCCTGGGCTAGATGAGTTGACTTCTAATTTCTTCAATAACCAGCTAGCACATTATTATAGATGATATGTTCCAACTGGTCAATGTTTACTCGTAGCGTAGGAAGCTCGGTTTTGGTGACAAAGACCAACTAGTTTGGTTGCGTAAATTAATTTCGAGGTGTAGGTTGGTTGAATCGAAAAGTTACTAATTCCTCTACTCTTCGGTGATTTTTTATGAACCGTATAGTAAGTTACAGGAATTCTTGTAGCCATCTGCTTTAAAAGTCGAAAGTTTTTCAATTGACTCATCGTAGCAAACTTTTGTATAGAAAAGTTCTGTAACTTGTCTTGAATCTTGATGGTTGTAGCTTGAACGAAATGCCCGAAGTAATGAAGCAGATGCCGCCTCTTCCGGTGAAGGTGAACGACGAGTTAGCGAACACAATCCTGCCGCCGACCGCTCACTCTATGCAATCATGAAAAGTCATCAACAACACAAATCTCCCTTTCAAATTACTTCCTCAAGCAAGGAAAGGGAAGGAAAGGAAAGCATTTTCTGCATATGAATGATCAAATTGTTTAGTTGCTATAATTTGAGTCTACAAAGTTGTTTTAATTTATTTCTTCTTTTTTGTTGCTTTAGAATATATGGATTCATACATTAGTTTGAAGAGGTAGATTGTAACTTAGATGCTGTGTAATAATTAGGAATGCTTTTCTTTCTTCTAATGCTCTCGCAAAAATGAAAAGTCATAATAAACAATATTTCTCCGCTTGAAAAAATCGATAAATTTTTTTCAAAAATATTTATCGGAACTGGATTTTAGAAAGAAACCTTTCAGAAATGGTCGATGAAACCCTTTTAAAAATGACGAGGAATAATGACCAATGATACCCTTATAAAATATTATGAAAAAAAGTAGACCGTCGTGCGGGCCTCTCGTTGGGGCATGCTATGCCAAAAGCGAGAGAAATTTCATCCCTCTTTCCTTTTTTCACCCCATGTCACCACACGGGAGGGTCATGGAGACATAAAAAAGGGATCCTATTAACTTGTTCCGACTTATGATAATAAGTTCATGAGCTTAGTCTTACTTCACGAGAAACGAAATAAGACTTCCATGTCCAAGCTTAACTCAGACGTGAGAAAAAAAAACTTATCCATTTAGGGTTAAACGTATGTTTTTTTTTTCTCACGTATAAAAATGATGAAGGGTACCCTTTAAAAATGATGAAGGGTACCCTTTAAAAATGATGAAAAAACTAATTTCTAATGGGTACTAGGGGTCATTTTTGTAATTTTAAAATTGGCTACAAATTTCTTTTGTTGTTTCTTCTCCACTCTCTTTATAACATTATTAAGCAACCTCTGACCTAAAATATTTCAAGCTTTTCACACACATGAAGAATCTTCAAGGAAACCATATTCCCACTCCATGCCTTGACATCAACTAGCTTCTAACAATCTTCATACTCATAATTACGAAAGTAAAAACGGTTTTTAGTTTAGTTCCTTCTTCCTTTTAGCTCAACAATTACAAAGTGGAAAATTGATTCATCAACTTTTAGAATAATAATTGATCTGTATTCAGATTAAACATCGTTTTATTCGTTGATTTGTTTTTATTGAAACCATCGATTTTTTTTAACCCACGAAAATGTTCGAATAAACGTTAAACTACAAACTTGAGCTAAACTGTTCAAAACTATATCGAAATTCAACAAACAAGGTTGCCTTTTTCTCCACGTTTGTCGCTTTAACTTCCTATCCTCGAAAATTCAACCCAACCCTTCAAATTTTCAAACCCAACACTTCAAAATTCGTAAGGAACTCATTCCTAAAGAAATGCTTGATTTTGGTCACAAATTCTAACCGCATTTGAAAAAGGTTACGGGATTGCCACGAACCACGTACCTTCACGATGAAATGATATTTTTCATTTTATTTTGTTTTTTATTTCTCCATAAGTGTCTCTACTAATGTAATAACGTATTCATCATCCTGTCTTTCTCAGACCAACTGCAACTTTCCATGTGGTTTGGTTTTTTTTCCTCCTAAAAAGTGGGAGATGTTGAGATTATTATTGAATTCTCTAAGATTTCCGTGAAGAATTTTTTGAAAAAATTCAATTTCTAATGTATTGGGTTTTGGATTTTAAATTATTTTTTGTTCCTTTCTTGTAAATTTGGTCATTCTGTTTCTTAAAACCAACTTCACCAAGCAAATCTTTTTTCACTTTCTCCCCATTTTCTCTGCTTCCAAACTAAACCACTAATTCCTTTAACAGGTAGGCTGTTTTTTTATTAAAAAAATTTACAATTTTTATGATTAAAATGTTTTTTTTCCCTCTCCAGATGATGGGATCAAGAAATGGAGTTAAAGGGTTCATAATTCCTCTGATTTGGATGTTCATCAGTTCATCCTGGATTTTCCCGGAAACTGTGGGACAGAAAATTTCATCCTCCAGCTCTCTAATACAATATGGTAAAAATGGAGTCTTTTTCAAAAAAACTTAATCATCAAAGGAAGAACATGTTGGGTTTGAAACGATTTTGAGTATCATTTTGGTGAGGGGTTTCTTGCAGGGAGAGATTTTGTGCAGAGAAATGATGGGTTGGAAGCACTTGAGGAAGAAGATAATACAGTTCGAGTTGATCCTTTGAACCATTTCAAGATGTATAGAGGTGGATATAACATCACCAACAAACACTATTGGAGTGTAAGTTCTCTTTCTCGAGTTGGGTTCGATTAAATTATGAAACTTTTTCGACTAACTTACTTGTTTGAGTCGTAAACTTATCAAAGTCGAAGAACTTTATCTCGATAGCTCAATTCAAACAACTTAAATCAATCGTAATGATCTCTAGTATAGATACTTATGAAAAGAGACAACTTTTGATTCTTAATAAGTTCAAGTTGGTTTGGTTCAATCAAACTACGCTATTAATGTTTTTACGGTGTTGACGTTTTCGTGTTCTTTGTTCTTTTCAGTCAACAATATTCACAGGAGCTGCAGGGTATGGGATTGGAGTGGCCTGGCTTGTGTGTGGAATAGCATATGGAGGATTTTTTGCAGCAACTTTGTGTCGTGGCAAGAGAAGGAGCAAGGGAAAGTTGAAGAAAATGTCACATTGTGGGGACAAATTTTACCTATGGACCATTCTTTTGGCTACTTTCTTCACAATTTTGGCTCTGTAAGTGTTTCAAGCACTCGAGTAGGTTGATCGTTAGAATCATGCGCTAGTTTTACTAGACAAACATTAGTTAATTTGACACGATATGATAGATAACTGGTCGAACGAAATAGACAAAACACTGTTTAATCCTGACATATTCAATAAACACGACATGACTCATTCGCTTATCGATATCAAGAGTTAGTTAGAAGTATACGGAATGATAAATGAACGATCCATAAAGTGTATGAATGTATGATGTGTGTGGGCAGGGTGGGATGTGGATTGGTGATTGTAGGCAGCAGTAGATTTGATAGAGAGGCAAAGGATGTGGTGAAGATCATAATAGAGACAGCCAATGGGGCATCAAACACTATACAAAACACAACTTCAGCTATGAAAGATATGATTCATAACTTAGAAGCTTCTAAAGGAATTGGAACTCATGAGGAGGCAGCTGCTACAACTTTGACTTCTACCTCTCACAAACTTGATGCTCAAGCTGCAAATATTCAGTGCCAAGCCAACAAGAACAGGCGCTTGATCCACAAGGGCCTCAACATAATGTAACTCTCTTCTCCTACCTCGTCTTTCGACTTTTAGTTTCATATCTAATAAATTTTTCGTTTAAGAAAGCCTCAACTGGTCTCTCGAAAGTTGTTTCAAGAGAGTCCTTTACGACCCTGTCATGCATAGTCATCTCTTCCTTGACGTTCTTTTAGAATGGCTGTATCCATGTTGTGCCTCTGAAGGGAAGAGACTCGCGATGTAGCTACCGGAAACTTTGTAACAGCCTAAGCCCACCACTGGTAGATATTGTCTGCTTTGGCCTGTTATGTATTGACTTCAGCCTCACGGTTTTAAAATGAGTCTACTAGGGAGAGGTTTCCACACCCTTAGTAGGAATGTTTCGTTCCCCTTTCCAACTGATGTAGGACCTCATAATCCACTCCCCTTAGGGGCTCAACGTCCTCACTGGCACACTGTCTAGTGTCTGACTCTGATACCATTTGTAACAATCCAAACCCACCACTAGTAGATATTGTCCGCTTTGGTCCGTTACGTATCACCGTCAGCCTCACAGTTTTAAAATGCGTCTATTATGGAGAAGATCTAGCCCAACTTCGATCGGTGCCTCACACCGTTCGGTGACTAGCTCTAATGCCATTTGTAAGAGCCGGTGACTGGCTCTGACCGGAGTAGGGTTAGACCCTCTCTGTAGTAGATGCGTTTTAAAATTGTGAGGTTGACGACAATATGTAACGGGCCAAAGTGGACAATATCTACTAACGGTGGGCTTGGACTGTTACAAACTACTCTAGGTGAATCGTCGTCAAGATCATCTCCAATCTGGGCCTCGCCTCTTAGATCCCTGAACTTGACTTTCTAAAATCCCGTTTGATAAACATTTGGTTTTTGAAAGTTCTTCCTTTACATCGGACGAAACATTTGAGCTTTTACCACTATCTCATAATTTGATAAATATATTGAATGGATGTGTGTATGGATGCAGGTACATAGTGACTATGGTTACAATTTCCTTGAACCTGGGAGCTGTAATTGGTTTGTCTGGTGAGTTTGTGTGGTTTCTTAAAAACATCAAAAAGACAACTAAATCTGTTCAGTAAGTGTTGATCAAAAGCTCACTTTTCTGCTATTTGCAGTATTTGGGATCCTCAGATTACATAGACTATTTCACAGGTAAGCATCGATATCCACTCCGTCACGAGAAATTTCTCGAGAATGAGAAAGAAACTGTAAAAGTATTTCAAATTTGTAGTCCGTGATTAAAAGAAGCTATGCACATTTCAAATCCACGTCCAATAGTATTAAGAGGCACCTATGCTATCCATGTTTCTGTCCCGGGATTCCGGGAGCTCCGCCAATACTTCTAACAAAATCCAACCAAACACAACATATAACAAGACATCCTTAAACATTTTTCTTGCAGCTTCATTCTACTGTGCTGGTTTCTAACAGTCGTGTGTTGGATGTTCTTTGGCTTGTATCTTTTCTTGAACAAGTAACTCTATCTCTCTGCTATGTTCTCAAGAACAAGATTTAGTTTGTACATAAAAACAAAGACGTTATATTGTTTTTGGTTGTTCGGTTTCAGTTTCTCAATAGACAGTTGCAGAGCTCTTGAAATGTTTCAAGAAAATCCCAACAACAACAGCCTCAGTTCGATTCTCCCATGTGAGCAACTGCTGACAGCCAAATCAGCTCTAACTGATGTAAGCTCAGAGATTTATGATCTTGTTAATCAGGTAATGTTTTTTTGTTTGTCTTTTTATGTTATTTTTCTATTGGCACCTTTGAATTTCTTTTGTTTTTGCAGGTCAACACACAAATTTCAGTATCATATCCAGACACTGGTTTGGTCTGCAATCCTTTCTCAGAACCTCCATATTATGAATATCAACCCGAAAACTGTGCAGCGAACACCATTCGTATCCGAGATATCCCCAAGGTAAATATGTTTGGACGTACGTACTATGTTATTGTAAACTTTAGGTTTCAATCTGTAACAGCTCAAACCCATTTTGAGTTTTCCCTTTTGGGCTTCCCAAAACGTGTCTGTTAGAGAGAGGTTTCTACATGAATGCTTTGTTCTCCTCTCCAACCGATGTGGGATCTCACAATCCTCCCCCTTAGGGGCCCAGCGTCCTCACTGGCACATTGTGTGGTGTCTGGCTTTGATACCATTTGTAACAGCCAAAACTCACTGCTAGTAGATATTGTCCTCTTTGGCCTTTCCCTTCTAGGTTTCTCCTTAAGGTTTTAAAAGCACGTCTGTTAAGGAGAGGTTTTCACACCCTTATAAGGAGTGTTTTGTTCTCCTTTTCAACTGATTTGAGATCTCACAATCCACCCCCTCTAGGGGCCAACATTCTCGCTGGTACATCTTCCGGTGTCTGGCTCTGATACCATTTGTAATAGCCCAAGCCCACCGCGAGCAGAAATTATCTTCTTTGGCTTTCCCTTTCAGGCTTCCCCTCTAGGTTTTTAAAATGCGTCTGTTAGGGAGAGGTTTCTACACCCTTATAAAGAATGCTTCGTTCTCCTCTCCAACCAGTGTGGGATCTCACAATCCATCTCCTTGGGGGCCTCTCACACCGGTGTGGGATCTCACAATCTATCGCCTTGGGGGCTAGTGTCCTCGCTGGCACACCGCTTGGTGTCTAGTTTTGATACACCATTGTAACAGTCCAAACCCACCACTAGCAGATATTGTCCTCTTTGGAATTTCCCTTCCGGGGTTCCTCTCAAGGTTTTAAAAACGCGTCTGCTAGGGAAAGGTTTCCACACCCTTATAAGAAATGTTTTGTTCTCCTCTCCAACCGAGGTGGGATCTCAAAATCCACCCCCTTTGGGAGCCCAATGTCCTCGCTGGTACATCTTCCGATGTCTGGCTCTAATACTATTTGTAATAATCTAGGCCCATTGCGAGCAGAAATAATTCTCTTTGGGCTTTCCCTTTCAGGCTTCCCCTCAAGGTTTTTAAAACGCGTCTAATAGGGAGAGGTTTTCATACCCTTATAAGGACTGCTTTGTTCTCCTCTCCAACCAACGTGGGATCTCACAAAATCTATATGGTTTCACTTTAAGTTTCTACCTAAAAAAGCGTGGAACAAAGCAATATTTGTTGACATTTCCATCGATACCAATACCAATACCGATCTCTATGCACATTGTTATTCTTTCAGGTGCTAAAGCTACTCACATGTTCTGATGAAAGCCATGGAGGGTGTGAGAATAGGCAGTTCATGTCGAACTCAGAGTACAAAACGGTGGAGGCTTACACAAACTCAGTACAAGATTTCTTCAATGTGTATCCAGGCATGGAAAGCCTTGTGAACTGCCAAACAGTGAAGGATGCGTTTTCAAAGATCTTAGAACACCATTGCAGGCCTTTGGAGAGCTATGCCAACATGGTTTGGGCAGGCCTTGTGTTTGTCTCAGTTGTTATGCTGTGTTTGGTTTTGATTTGGACAATTTCAGCAAATGTTGAGCATAAACTTCACCCTTCAGCAGATGCCTCAGTGCTGCCCAATTCTTCAACTACTCCAAAGATGATGGAGACGTCTACTCTTTGAGATCTTAGCTCGTGTTCAAAATTAGGATAGAATCAATCGGTGATCCGAAGAATCTCGCGTAAGCGAGTTCTCGGTATGTCTAGGTTAGACCCGACACGTATTTTTCTTTGCACGTAGGCTAAATTATACAAAATATTGCTTGTGTATATAAATCATTTCAGTTTTGTCTATGATTTGACTGTGATTGATGTTCCTATTATGTTCATATAAACTAATATGATCCGTCCTGATTAGGGGCATGATTCTTGTAACAATCCAAGCCCACTGCTTGCCGTTATTGTTTGCTTTAGCTCGTTATGTATAACCTCAACCTCATGGTTTTAAAACACGTCTACTATGGAGAGGTTTTGTAATAGCTCAAGCCCACTGCTAGCAGATATTGTCCTCTTTGGGCTTTTCCTTTCGGGTTTTCCCTCAATGATTTTAAAACGCGTCTACTAGAGAGAAGTTTCCACACCCTTATAAAGAATGCTTCGTTCTTCTCCCCAACTGACGTGGGATCTCACAATTACATTCTTGTATCAACCTCAAACACAAACACAGGATGTTGAGTGTCTGATGTATCCAAGAGATGAATGGGTTGTTTCAGTTTGTGAACCTTTTGCTTTGACCAAATTTGTCACTGCTACCTCTTCACTCATTGCCATATGTTTTTCTTAAAAGAGAAGAATAGTGAAAAGAACAGTTAGGAAGTGAAGAAACAGACAAAAAAAAAACAAGAAGAAAACAGGAAGGGAGAAATGATGATGGGTTAAAAAGGTGAAATTGAAATGGGATAAGAAAGCAAGAATAAAGAAGGTTTCAAGTTTGGGAGAGAGAAGCGGTAAGAAAGAGAGGGGAAAAGCGATGGTAAATTTATTGTAATAATCACGAGAAAGCAACATGAACATGAATATGAGTGGCAGAGTTGGGTCTTTCTCTTCTTTTTTCTTCTGCTTTTGGAATCTTTTCTCTGAAACTATTCTCTGTGACTCCGACATTATCTCTCCCTCCCTCTCTCTCCCTAATATTCCTTCTGCCATCAACATCCTCCCAAAACTCATTCTCTCTCTCTCTCTTTCATTCTCTCTCTCTCTTTCATTCTCTCTCTCTTTCATTCTCTCTCTCTTTCTCCAAGAATGCCCTTCAGACACTCCCTCTTTCTTCAAGAATGCCCTTCAGACACTCCACCTCTCTCTCCTTCAACCGGGGGAAATTGATCCTATTCTATAAGATTATGTTTGAGAGTGATGTTTTAAAGTGTTTCTGACTCAATAATGTCATTGTGATTGGAAGAATCAAACAGTGTTTATTTATTGTGCACTTTATTATGTTTTTGTTTGTTCGGTGTTTCCCTTTCGGGCTTCCCCTTAAGCTTTTTAAAATGCGTCCTTCCCCCACTGACGTGGGATCTCACAATCCACCCCACTTGGCACACCGTTCAATGTATGGCTCTGATACCATTTGTAAGAGCCCAAGCACACCGCGGTGCTTAACAGACATTATTCGCTTTACCCATTACATATCACTATCAATTTCACAGTTTTAAACAGAGAGAGGTTTCCACCCTCTTACAAACAGGTACTCATATCAACGACAAATGTAGACATCTCCTTTTCCTTCGTAAGTTGTTCGAGAATGCCCACTTGACCTTCTCTAAGATGTTCATAGCTCATTCAAGATTAAAATTTAACTTCATCCAATCATCTCACTCTCCTAAATCGTTTAGAAAAGATGAACATTTTATTCGTGTCATCTCCAACTCGACCCTAGCTCTCTCCCGTGATCATCTCATTGCATCCCTACTTATTAACATTATTGCATTCCCATGATTGAGATACTTTTTATAGAAGAATAATTTCACTTAAAATAAAAAGTTTTGAAATATTTTAATTAATTTAATTAAAAATATTTAATCGAAAATCATGTTGAATAGGATAAGAAAAGAAGAGAGAACGATGTTGGAGAAAGCCGCGGCATTCTTTTTGGTAAATGCGTTAATTTTTTCGAATCACCTTTCCCGAAAAAAAAGAACAAAATCCACGCGGTCTCTCCGCGCGTGGACGTGGAATTCCCATGATCACATAATGCGTCCACGGATGATGGTCGACAAGACGTCCTGGACCCCAACTGAGTTGTTCCGGTAAGATTCCCACGCGCGTAAGCCTCCTCTTCACGCCCACACATTAATTAATTAATTATTTATTAAAAAAAGGAAAAAGGTTGTTAATTTCCATCTCCCATTTTCTTTCTTTCCTTCTGGTTCCTTCATTTGTTGTTCATGTTCCTAAGCTTTGGTGGGTTAGTAATGAGTACACCTCCAAATATGGCAACAATCACAGCCGCCTTAGAACGCTCTCTTCAGAACTGTTCCTTAAGCCGCCGCCGCCGCCATCATGATCATCATCACCAACAACAACAAGCCCCAAATTCCTCTTCTTCTGATCTTCTTCAACCTCCCACCACTTTGGACCTCAACTCCCATATCTCTCTCCCTTACCACTGGGAGCAGTGTCTCGATCTAAAGGTTATTTTTTTCTTCTGGGTTCAGTTGATTATTATTGGGAGGGAGTCTCAGATTAGCTAATTTAGGGAATGATCATGACTTTCTCCTTGTGGGAAGCCCAAAGCTCTTCTGGGTGGGAGTGAGTCGCTAATTTAGGGAATGATCATGAGTTTATAAGTAAGGAATACATCTCTATTCATATGAGACATTTTGGGAAGTGTAAAGTAAAGTCACGAGAGCTTATGCTCATAGTTGACAATATCATACCATTGTGGAGAGTCATTATTCCTACACAAACTTATTAGGGTTTCGTGTTTGGGTATAGAATTCATGGAAAGGAAGGAACTTTAAGGGGTTTTTTGAAATTTTGTTCAATGGGTTTTGTTTAAATGTGAAGGGTTGCTTATAATTTGAAGAGAATATGGAGAATGTGAGGTTTTTTGTTTGTTTTTTTGGCAGACGGGGGAGATTTACTACATAAACTGGAGGAATGGAATGAAGGCGAAGGAGGATCCGAGGCCTATCACAGAAGATCATTATAGTGAAGATTACTATTACTCGGATGACGATGACGATGAGGATAGCGACGAGTCGTCGACGGAGTCATCGAATAACAACAACGAGAACAAGAAGAACTATGCAGCGATGGAAGAACAGGAGGAAGAAGAAGAAGAGGAGGAGGATGTGTTGGTGGTGGCAGGTTGCAAGAGCTGCCTAATGTATTTTATGGTGCCAAAGCTGGTTGAAGATTGTCCAAAATGCAGTAATGGTCAGCTTCTTCATTTTGATCGCTCTGAAAATGAGATTCCATGAATGACACAACTTTCCACTTGCTTTTCTTTCTGGGTTTTTTTTTGCTTTGATTCATGGGGGAATGAGAGGAAGAAGAAGACAGAGAGAAACCCTTTTCATTTTTGCCTTTCAAATTGTTTCCATGTGTATTTGTATTTGTCAGAAAAGGAGGCCAATGGGTTTTGGTTTTGGTTTTGGTTTTGGTTTTGGCTTTGGCTTTTGTTTTTATAAATTTCTTCATTTTTTGTTCTTCTTTTTCAACTCTAATCATGTGAATGGGTGTTCAATTGCAAACAAACCTTAGTTTAATGGAAATAGAATTTCAAGAAAAGAATCAAACCCTAAACAAGTAATAATATATTCTAAGAACTGACTCTTATTTTTCAAGTTTTGTATTCATTTAAGGTAGTTTTGTTTGTTCTCGGGTACAAACTTTCATGAGGTTTTTTAGTTCAAACATGCTAAGGTTGAGAATGGAATTCTTAATCATTTGGTTGAGGTTATAATAGTTTAACAAGATGAGTTATAGAGATAGGGTACAAACTTTCATCAGGTTTTTTAGTTCAACCATGTCAAAGTCGAAAATGAAATTTTTAATCATTTGGTTGAGATTATAATATTTTAACGAGACAATTTATAGCTGCATGCATGCAACCTATATTCACTTTGGATTCAAAACTTTTAAGTTTATTTTCTTCTAACAAATAGATAATACCAACTCTCAAGATGTATGCATGAATGTAGATATGTATCCAAGATAGGCTAGTTGAGGCAAGCATTTATGAGTATATTATATAGGACAAGATAATAGTAATGACCAAAACTCTTATCTTTTCAATCTTTTTTAATACTTTCTTTTCTTCTTAAAAAAAAAAAAATCTAAAGAAATATTATATATATATATATATATATAACCAAGTAATGTTACATGGCTACTAATTTGTTGTTATTTGATAACATGAGTTGGTCTAATTATATAGATTGAGCAAATGAATATATGGAGACTGAACATTGTTTGCCATTTTCATTTGTAGGGAGGAGACAAACAAATAATTCATTAAAGTTACTATCCTATTGTGCTGAAAAAAGTGATGGCAAAACCATCAAACCCAAGGCCCTTGTGTTGATCTATTGCATCAAGAAACCTCACCTTTCTACTAAATTATTTCGTGCAAAAAAGGAGAGTCCATATCAATACTCTCTCAAAGATGGCATGGGACACCAATCCACACCCACAACCAATAAGAGATGGGAGAAGAAACATCCTCTTCCTCAACCAGACTCTCTTTACATTCTCCAATGTTTCTCCTCTTAACCAACTTATACTCCAACATAACACATAGTATATTCAATTGAATTCTAGGCACAACTATGGCTTCACCACTGTTTCCAACATCTAAACCTAATATCAAACACACCACGAAAATCTTGTGCTCTTTCATCGTATAAAAAGAACGGGAAAGAAAATCGACTCTTCGTGTCAAGAGGTGCGCAAATTAAACTTAAGAACTGAACTGGAACTCAATAGGAAATCATGAATGCAAACATCCCGTTAACTTATTTTACAAGGCAACTGCTAATCTATCATCCTATACATGAAAATGAACTCTTCCAACCCCTTTCTGTTTTATAGAGGGTGCTAAAATTTATCCTTAGCTTTGCGAATGATACCCAAGACCTCTGCATCATCCGCTGTATTTCGAACTTTTAACGACCGCCGAATTTCTGTACTTGAAGTACGGAGGAACGGATTGCACATTTTCTCCATCTTTAATGTTGTTGGAATCTGTGATATTAGAATCATAGAGTTAAAAACACTCAAGGGGCAATGGAAGTACAATACCAAATGGCCTGTTCATGCCATCCCTAGGTTCAAGGTCGAGGTGCTTGTGTGTCTCAGCCTACCAAAATCATTGTTTTTATAGTGACAGTCCAATTTACTGAGGAGCTCACAACATTACAAATAAATCTCCCTAGGAACCACAAAAAGAAATCAATTTTTTTACTTCGCTAGCTCATATTCTGCAAGGCATCAACTAGCAGTGCTTCGTGTAAACTCAACTTGGGAGGAAAGTTTTTTCATGCTTTCAATAAAGTAGTCTTTTTATTCGAAAAAAATTATTACGATGACACGGGTAGTTATGATGTCACTATTAAAGATATTTAGTACTAAATTATAGTTTACCATATATATTTGATGCACACGGAAAGTTATGATGTCACTATTAAAGATATTTAGTACTAAATTATAGTTTACCATGTATATTTGATGTTTTATTACAGACAAATATATAGATATTAGTACTTTATCTAGATCTTTTATTACAGGATATTCAGTACTAGATATTTGTCTTCCATTACGTATAGGTATCTTTCCATTTATTAATCTCATTTATTAATCTTTCCATATTCTTGTAATTTATTTGATTATAAATAGAAAACTTTCGCACCATTTAGGTGTATGGTTTTAACAAATATTCTCATGGTATCAGAGCCCTTTTTCGGTTTAACAACCTCGATACTTTCTTTTCAATGGCTTCTGAATCCTCTACGGTTCTTCTCCACCACCACTGCTAGTTTTGACGCCGCAGGGGCAGTCTCCATGGCTGTCGCAGGCGGAGCCGATTGATTACTTTTCGGCTCACCCTTTTGACCTCCAAATCACCCTTCGCCATACTTTGTACATACAACCTCACATTTTTCAACACAATCGATTTTCTCTTAGCCAACATAGTTTCTTTCATTTTCTTCCCAATCTTCCCTTCATCCTTCACAAAAACCCTAACATCAAGATCCTCATTAGCTTTCTCATCAGAAATATACGGAATCTCTACAAGCCCATCAACCTTCTGCAGAGATTTACCTTCAAAATTCGGGCACGCACTGGCTTCTTCGCTAACCAAGTCGCCGCCAACCTCCTTGCCAAAATCGGCTCCTTCACCCACTACGGCGACTCTTCCGACTTCAACACCGTCTTTGTCCTTTGCTCCGGGGGACGTGACTCCCCTCTGTCCATTGGAACTTCACCACCTGCTATGGCGCCGGCTACTTCTCCACCGGCTTTGCCTACTGCTCCATTGTCGGCCTCCACTCTTGACCATTTAGGTGTTGTGAACAGAATCACCGTCTTTGGATCTATCATTGTGGCTCTTCACCCACTTCTGATGGTCTCTTTATCAGTAAGTTAAAATATGCTCGTGATATTCTTACTCGTGTTGATTTGCTCGATAGCAACCCGGTCCACAGGGCGCAAACCCCACTCCATCTCCGTCCCTCTCTTTCTTCGTCTAAAATACACCTAGAGTCCGCATTCTCAGTTTATGCCCTCTTCTTCCTCTCTTGTTCCTCTCTTCTTCATAGTCACCATCGAACCCTCTCTCTCTATTCTCCTCTTCCTCTAGGTTTCCCCCTTCTACTTCGTGGGTTAGACATATTCTCGCCAGAGCCACGGCAGCATCGCCGTGGAGCGACGATCCCTCTGCAGTTTTCGATGGCCAAGAAAGTATTTCTCTACGTCTCCTTTGAACCAGGTTGTTGACATCTTCATAAAAAGTGTTTCTCGACCTCTCTTTGAATTTTTCAGATCCAAGCTTCATGTTCATTCAAATCCAACGCCAGCTTGCGGGGGATGTTAAGGATATTTAGTACTAAATTATAGTTTATCATATATTTCACAGTTGATCTTTTATTATAGGCAAATATCTAGATATTCGCCTTCCATTATACATAGGTATCTTTTCATTTATTCTTTCCATTTATTACTGTAATTTATTTGATTATAAATAGCTTTCATGGGTTGGTTTTAACCAATATTCTCCACCACTATGCACAAACCATGCTGAATTAAACTCCAAATAATCACCCATAAAATAATAAATAATGGCCAAGGAGTTACCGTTGGCAAGCCCTTGCTTCGTAGATTGGCAACCTGGGTTGCAAAAGATTTGAGAGCCTCGTTCTTAGGTTCAATGGACAAAGCAAATTTAGAGTTACTCTGCCAAATGGTAATCATATAATTAGGCATATGGCATTCGACCTTCAGAAAATGTAGTGTCATAATAAAATGAAATAAAAGCAATAAGTTACTGACCAAAGTATACTCATGACCGCAAAATATGTTTGTATCATCTGGCAAAGAAGTGATCTTTTTGAGGGAAGATAGCATCTGTATCATGCATACTAAACAATTAGAATTCTGCAAATAAAATAATAACCTCATAGCAATTATTACTTAGCATTAGAATCTGAATAACTAGAAGCAATTAAGTCTCTGAGCTTAATTCACATTCAGTAGATTAGCATTCAGCATCAAGTTCACTTTTCACAACAATAGTTTTTCCGTTACATCGATACTTAATGAGTGACCTAAGCATACTGAAGTTGAGTGCCATTTTGTTCATGAGAGAACACAGAACAGGGTGCATGGAATGAGAATAAAAGGAACAGCAGAGAAACTCCCACAAAATGGCACTCAACTTGATTGGACAACAAAAAGGGTAAAAAGTGTATGAAATCAAGCACAGAGAGGAAAAAACCATAAGCAGGTCTAGCAAGAAGAAACTGTTTGGACATGGTACTACATTTAGGTAACATCCAATTAAATGAAAAATGCAAGGGAAACAAACCTGTTCAGGAGTTCCTTCAAAAAGCTTGCCACAAGATAAGCTGAATAATGTATCACCAGTAAAAATTGCTGCTGATCCAGGAAAATAGAAACTAATATGACCTGAATTCAGTTAAAATTAAAAACAAAAAATCAGGCCAAAGAGTATATAATGGTGAGCCAGAATTCCATAGGCACAAACAAATCCACAAGAACTAAGAAGCAGAACAATGATGAATATATCTAAGATACTATACAAGATACAAGCCAGATGAAACCAAGGTAGCATAATTTTCAAAAAGTCTAGTCTCGAATCTCTCAGACTCCTACTTGAGACGTTTAGTGGGCACAACAAACCCACACTGTGTTTTTTAATTTTTCCCAGACACATATTTGAGTTACATAAGTACAACAAAACCCACATCATCAATTTTGCTTTTCTTTTTCCTCGATGAGATGCAAGTTTGAAGAATGGAAACCAAGCAAAAGCCTACAGAAGCAGCATGCCCAAAAACTCCATCTATTTCCCAATAAAGACTCTTCTAGTCATCATCAATGCATCTATACTACATATCAAATATTGCAAGACTTCTTTTAACTAGAATGATCAAAGAAAAGATCGGCTGTGCAAAGAAGTTATACAAAA